ATGACAACTGACAGACGAGTGGTGGTCAGCTATTGCTAGGTGTCATTAAGTCAGTTCCAACTCACAGTGATCCCATGTAAACCAGAACAAAACACTGCCTGGACCTACACCATCTACATAATCTTGCTGTGTTGGATTGTCCCCACTGTTACATCTACTGTAACAATCCAGCTCATTGAGGGTCTTCCTCTTTCACACTGACACTTTACTTTTCTAAGCATTATATCATTTTCCTGGGACCAGTCCCTCCTGATAACATGTCCAAAGTACATAAGACAAAGTCTCGCTATCCTCGCTTCTATGAAGCATGCCAAGAAGAATTTTATTGTATATTCAGTGTTCTTTGCCAACATCATAATCCAAAGGTTATCAATTCTTCTTCAGTCTTCCTTATTCACTGTCTAGCTTTTACATGCATATGAGGTGACTGAAATTACCATGATTTGGGTCAAGTGAACCTCAAAGTGACAACTTAGCTTTAAAGAAATCTTTTGCAGGAGACTTGCTCACTGTCATACATTGGTTTCTTGACTGCTGCTTCATGGACATGTGGATCCAAGTAGAATGGAACCCTGGACAACTTCACTCTTTTCTCTGTTTATCATGAGGCTGCTTATGAAGACTCGAAGAAGAAAGGAAAGAGGGGAGGGAAGGAGGAAGAGAGGAAAGAAATAGAAAAGTAAAAAGTATCTGTTCATAGAGCTAAGATCAGTCAGTCAGTAGAAGTGAGTCTAGTGTTTTACGATTTTTTTTCTCCATTTATATTCAAATACCAAAAAAAAATCAAATAGATCTTTAAAGATCATTTTATTATAACAGAGAGAGGGCATATCAAGCATTGTTAGCCTACTGACTCAATAACAAATTTATACAATAAAATAAATGCACAAGTTGAATGAGACAAAGTTCTCGTCAGGTCCTGGCTCGAACTTTCCATCTGACAATGGGAAAATTCCCAGAGTCTCATAAAATGACCTGAGGAGCTGCCTAACAAATGATAATGTCACCAAGATCAGCTTACTCATGTCTCTGAAGGAATACCATCCCAAATTCCCCAAGGGCTCCCCAGGAATGTGGTCCCAGACTGCAGGTCCTGATCCAATTTACCAAGCCAATGTGAGCATCTAATTTCTTTCCACTACCTTTCCTCCCATGTTAACTCAATTTCTCCTTTCCATATCAGCTGTCCCTAGGGAGTCAGGTAGACCCAGTTAAGACTATCAGATTCTGGGATGCTTTGGGGACAATTGTGAAGCTAGAAAAATGAAGGTGCAAAGTCAGGCCGGAGGATGGAAGAACGGGAGGTATTTCCCCCAGTTCAGCCAACACTCATCAAAGGATGAGTATGGCAGCAGTCCTGTCATGGTTCTGATGGTATATAGGGCTTCTTACAGATGAAAAAAAACTGAGCATCACAGGACACGTCATTCCAGGACTGAAGTGAAGTCCTCTTTATATTGGCACAGTGTTCATTGTTCCCAAAATTGTTGGGCTCACCTGGAATCCAGAACCTACCAAGTGGGAGGGAAAGCAAAGAAAAATTCATTTTCAAAGTAAAAAGAAAAGAAAATTGTTTTCCAAAAATAAATTAGTTATTCCAGTCCCAGCTTTAGTCTTAGGTGGTATGGTAGCATTGGAAGTTTCTACATCCAAACCTAAAAGGAAGGGAGCTGATGAGCATTTAGTCTCTAAACCTTCAATCATCCTCCTGATTAGGGCCAAGCCAGGACACCATTCACAAGCCCTTAAACACAGACGTACACTGCTGCAAATTCCTAGACTTAGAAGAGGATTCTGGCCAATCTGTATAGAAGCCCATGCTACCAAATTCCAGATGGCACGGAAAGGCACCCGATTTATCCCAGGTCCCCCAGCCAGTTAGTAGCAGTGATAAACTCGTTCGCCATTCCAGTGCTCTTGCTTTCCTGGGACAGGGGAGAACCACAGGCCCATAAATGCCCTTCGCATTCTGACTTTGGTCCTGGTCCAGTAGAGACAGGCAAGGCAGGAAGCTAGGAGCTTACCTTGAACTTTGGAGCTTATTGAAGGGAGTTCCATCTATCCAGTGCCAGTCCCCTTCACTCCCTGCTTTGGTGAGGCCAATCCAGTATATCTGTCCTCCTGCTATCTTGTACAGAAACTCCTGTAGGGAAGACAGAGCAGAGGTGCTGCCAAGACTCAGAGTTTGAGTGTATTTCTGACTGCTCTTCACCTGCCCTCTGGATGATGCCGAACCCACACACACAGCTCACACTAGCCTACCAAAACCCAGAGCACATCTTTCAATTCTTATTGTTCATTGCCCTACAATTAACAGATTCAGGCCTTAGAAAGGGACTCCTGGCATACAAGAAAACTCAGCTAAACCCCAAAGACCCCAAGAGGATGACCTAAAGAATACAAGTTAAATTTACTGAGCAATTAATATGCCTAGACACTATGCTCAGGGCTCTGGTAGTATAGTGGTTCCCCATTGAGCTGCTAGCCATTCAAATCTAAGATGAGGTTTTCTGCTCCCATAAAGATTTACTGCCTCAAAAGCCCTATATAGGGTCTGTATGAGTTGAATCCAACTCCAAGGCACAAACACCACCACCACCAGGCACTATGCTAACCCTGGTGGCACTGTGTTTAAGCACTTGGCTGCTAACTGAAAAGTCGGCAGTTTGACCCCACCAGCCACTCTGCAAAAGTAAGATGTGGCAGTCTGATTCCTTAAAGATGGCAGCCTTGGAAACCCTCTGGGGCAGTTCTACTCTCCCCTGGGGTTACTGTGAATCCCAATTGATTCAAGGGTAGTGGGTTTCGGCAATACTGTGCTAAGCCTTTTATGTGCATTGACTCGTGTATTCTCTGAGACAGATACTATTATCATATATATTCTCATAGGTGAATACACTGAGGCCTTTTTGTTGTTGTTGTTGTTGTTGGTACCATCAAGTAGGTACAGACTCATAGCGACTTTATGCACAGCAGAACGAAACACTGCCCGATCCTGGGCCAACCTCACTGCTGTTGCCACGCTTGAATCCATCGATGCTGCCACTTGGCCATTCCATCTTGTTGGGGGGGTCTTCCTCTTTTTCTCTGACCCTCCACCTTACCAACCATGATATCCTTCTCCAGCCACTGGTTCCTCTTGACAATATGTTCGAAGTATGAGAGACGAAGTTTGGCCATCTTGGCCTCTAAGGAGCACTCTGGCTGAGGCCTGTTGTTGTTGTTGTTGTTAAGTGCCATCAAGTCGATTCCGACCTATAGCGACCCTGTACAGGGTTTCCAAGACTGTAAATCTTGACATGAGTAGAAGCCTCATCTTTCCCCCGCGAAGCGGCTGGTAGTTTCGAACTGCTGACCTTAAGGTCCACAGCCCAATTCGTAACCACTATGCTATCAGAGCTCCTTCTGGCTGAGGCCTGGCTGAGGCCTACTGAGGGCAAATAGTCTACCCCAGGCTATAGGACTAGTTAGGTGGTAGCACTTACTCAACTATTCTGCCTCCCAGATGAAAGGACCTTGCTCTATATCCTGTCTTATTGGCAGGAGATTTCTTGGGTCATGTGGTACCACTAATACTGTTCACAAATATTTCTTGCCTGGGCACATTGAAGGATTGCACCTCCCTTCCCTCTTTGAAGATAAGAGTACTGTGTGATTGGTTTTGACCGGTGAAATGGGAGGAGAAGTGATGTGTGCTATATCTAGGCTGAAGCTTTAAAAGTCCATGCACAATTTGCCAGATTTCATTTTCAATCCTCAGTAATGGTGATAACACATGTTGAAATGAATTCTCCTTCAACCGAGCTCTTTGAGAGACCACAGTGAATAGAACCCCTCTTGCTGGCCCTCACTGGATATGCAGTATAAAATAAAAACAAGCCCTCCTTGCTTTCCTTTTGATGTTTGGGGATTGTTTGTTACATAGCATAATCCTGCCCATCCTGACTGCTTCAGCTGTCAACACACCCATTACCAGAGCCCATAGGAACAGCACTCACCTGTTCACTCTCTGAGGTCACTGAGGTCAGGTGTGAATCCCTGGATATGCAGAACTGCTGGGCACTGTACCAGGTTTTGGAAATGTGAGAAAGGTAATAGTAGTTCCCCTTGAAGTGTGCCCAACCTCTAGAAAGCATCTGAAGAATGTCATCTGTAAACAAGGGCTAAAGGTGAACACTGCTATTCTGTCTTCTCTGGGCTCTGGCTATGTGGGGTATTTGAATGGGGATGCCAGAGACAGTAATGAATTAGGCTGAATCCGGGGTTCCTGGGTCCTAATATAGGGGTTTTAGGACACTCTGATTTTGGAAGCCTGACTGAAAGAACCACTAGGCTGGGTTAGAGAGGAGAAAGTGAAAGAGGATGGATCAAGGATCCTTCTCTATCATGAGGAAAGAACAATTCTCCATTGGCCATCACAAGTGGTTGAGTTCATGGGCTTTATATTAGGAACTTACTAGGAAATGGTTAGGCTTGGGCCAAGACAGAGACTCTTTAATACTTTCATACTCTGCACCTTAGTGTGAGACCCAATCTGGGCCCTGATCCTCCTCTCCTGAGTCCTTCCCACCTCAATGCTGAACCCTCTCTTCTTAACTTTCTAGACTGTGCCTATCTTGCTCCTCTCCCTTTCCCTTCTTACACCTTAGTCCAATATCCCCATGTTTAATATGGGCAAGATCCCACGGGCATTTGTTGACTTGCAGTCTTACTTGCTGAGGCACTTACTTTGCTGTCTGAGTGATTTGTCCATATTCTCCAAACTGCTCTGAAGTCCTCCGACCTTTGCATTTAAAAGACTTGCTTTATCCAAATCTCTTTTTAACTCTGGAATTTGGGCATTTAAAATATTGACTTCCTCCCAACTTCTTGTTAATCTCTGGATCCCTGCATTGGCCTTCTCCAAACTGGCTTCCAATGTCAGGAGTCTAGAGCGCATTTGAGTCAGGTTAACATTCAACCTCTGGATCTGAATTCTGGCTGCCTTCAGGCCACCACGATTCCTCTGAATTTCCGAACCTTCAGTGCTGATGTTGTCCACACGTCCTTCCAGCAACTGAGCATTAATCTTTGCATCTGATAGTGTGCCCAAAAGCCAGGAATCTGAATATGGGAAATCAAGAGGTCAGTTGAGGGGATCTCTGGGAGTAGAGTGATAAAAGGCAGAGAAAGGAAGGGACAAGCTCACACTTCTCAAGAAACCAATCCGGCCCAAGTAGTTGCCTCCTACCCTCCATTCATTTATTAATGTATTCACTCAACAAACATGCAAAGGACACCTACCATACACTAGGAATTCTGGTGAAAGCAGACAATACAAATATTGATAAACATAAACTCTCTGTTAGAGGAATTCACAGATGAGCAGAAGCAGTGATTAGAACCGAGTCCTAAATTTTCTTTGAACATTCAGGGCATCTTTGTAAAGGAATAACCTTAATTACCTGGCTCTCACCCTCTTCACATCCCTCTGGACCCCCTCACTTGATTTCAGCCCTTTCCTTTCAGAGACTCCTACAGTGTCCATCAGCGAGGGCACCCCCTTAGTCTGCCCACAAGCCCCTCCATGGACACAGGGAGAGCCAGCCATGTAGCTTCCTCATCTAAAAGATGTTTCTTCTCCAGAGAACATTGAAAGGGAGAGTTAAGAAAACACATCAACCCCTTTCCCTTACCCTTTCATGCTCAACTCAGGCTTGAGTACCTTTGAGGGTGACAAAAGGAGACTAAGAGGGCTCAAGGGAGAGCTCTGTGGAAAAGATAAGTTAGAGACCACGAGTCTTGGATGGAGAAAAGTGGTGGGAGGAAGCTTTGCTCAGAAGCTACAAGTTTGAGCTCTCTTGTGCCCACGGCCATGAAGAGAGAAGACAGACAGTCAATTCTCTCCCTCAGCTTCTGGAGTCCTGGCAGGAGGAAGAAGGCTCAGCTAACTACAGAGGGCATGAAACTTTGGAAAATAAGAAGAGGAAAAGAAGGTATGTCACACGTCCAGTGAATAAATAGGGAGATTCCTATGAGGTGACTTTCACAGGAGAATGAAGACCTTTGTGGCTATCCAGTCAACTGGAACAAAGGGCACGCTTGAGACTCAGTCCCTTATGGGGCCAGAAGACATCTCACTTGCTTCCAGTGACTGCTCACAGGCTCTGAATCAAAGGGCTGCACAGACAGGAAAGGACAAGGAAGAAGTCAATGAACAATTGGCTGGAGATAAAAGCATGTATCCCTGAGGACAAACATGCAAGCATTAATACTATATCTGGAGGGAAAGTGCAGTGCCTCATCTTACCAGACCTTGTGACACATGGGAAGAAGAGAAACAAGACATGTGGAAAAACCAAAGGCAGGGAGTCCCTTGGAGGATAGGAAAGAGCAGACCTCGGCCTCAAGAGCACTACTGGACAATGAAGAAGGAACAAATACAGAAGATAAAATTTGAGGACTCACAGAGGATACCCTGCAGCAAGACAGAAGTGACCAGGACCAGACTCAGGAAGGTCAATGCAGCACACACGGTGGAAGGTTTCCTCAGAGGCAGAGGCCGATCCGTCTTGGTAGGAGGCTCTGCTGGGAGAAGAAGCAAACATTTGTTGAAAGACCAGTAAACAGTTGGTTTGGGAGTCCTGCCCCAAGCAGGTTCACAGCAGTGACTGGTGCTTGCCTCTGGGCCAGAGGGAGATGTTCTGTTTATCCACAGTAAAGTGAGCACAAGGGAGCTCCTCTCCAGTGGTCATCCTCCACCACTCCCCTCCTGGTAAGAGGTATGTCCAGCTAGCCTGCTCCCCCAGAGCCTTTTATCTAGAGGAAAGAAGAAGTAAGTCTAGAAGAAGGTCATGGTAGCATCCCAAAGTTCCTCATTCCTGGCTTACTCACTGATTTAAAAAACAAGCCTATAATGTGCTCAAAACCTTTTTTTTTCTTTTTTTTCCAGTTTCTTCATTTAACAGAGCAGTCTGGGGGCGTTTAGGCCCAAACCACTCTCCCCCGCCCCCGCCCCTGGGAACAGTGCGAAGCACACCTTAGACAACACCTGCCAATGAGTATGCTAACCAGGCCCGGCAGTAGTCAGGCCCTCTCTCCCTGCCCTCCTCGATGGAACAGGAGCACAGATAGGAGAGGAAACAGCCAGATGGTCTGTGAGATTGCTCCAGCAGAGGTCACCCCAAAGGGGAGGGCATAAAGAATGATATTGTTGTTGTTGTTGTTAAGTGCCATCAAGTCAGTTCCAACCCATAGCGACCCTGTATAGGGTTTTCGAGGAGCGGCTGGTAAACTGCCCACTTTGCAGTTCAAATGGCTTTGCAGTCTGGTGCATTAACCCACAGCACCACACCAGGACTCCACAGAGAATGATTTGAAAGCTCTCATTGGTCAAGACTGACTACCTTCCCTCTTTGTGAAGAGCTCAGCCTTATCTCTGAGTTAGCTCATCGCCAAGGTGCAGGAGCTGATAGTTAGGTGGGCAGAAAAACTGATTTCTTGCTACATAGCCTGGGTCTGTGGCTATCTCCAATAAGCTGAAGAGATTCAGAAAAGCAGCCTCAAAGGAGGTCAACTGGATAGCACTTTAATATTTTGACTCCCACTATCATGTTGTTGTACCAAAAGGAAATGGTTAATGTTCAACCATTTCAAAAGATACCATATGAACAAGAGCCAATGATACTCAGAGAGGAAGTCCAAAGTGCATT